CCCATCACTACCATAGTCCAGGATGATCGTGATACTTAGGACCTCCTCTGAAGGGACTCCTACCAATCACCGTCCCTGCTCGTGTCGTTCTGTCCATGGTCATGGAAGAGACCTTCTCCTGCCTTGTCCGTTGTTCCTCCCTCCTCATCTACAGTCTTCCCTTGGGAATATAGAGCTACTGCTAATCCCAGAAAAATGATGGATGGTGGAGTGTCCAGGATCCCTCTGTTGTGGTATGGCCTTTTAACGTGAGCATCTCCCAAGTGTTCCATTGATGCTTCCTTCACAGAGCCCATAATATCACTAATGGGTAGGAGTTCGAATGCGCGCTCAACAGCCTCTACTCCTGACCATCCAGAGGCTGGGGGTACGGTGAATAGGAGAATGAGGAGGAAGAACACCGGTCTAACGGAAGAGCCTCGAAGATTATGACCACCTCCGAAAGTCGGCTTTGGTGATTTGCTGGACATTTGCGGGATAGCCAGTTGAAAAATCACACCAAGGCCTACAAAGACTGGGGTATCTTAGGTTGAAGCACATAAGATACAGAATAGGTCCGACCACGTGACGTTTCTAGCTCGCGGCACGTTTCCTCATCAGTTCTCTCGCGTGCATCACTTCCCCCAATCCATGGCTTCCCTTCCTGTTCCATTGGCTATCGATAGAAGAAAGGGAACCTGATAGCCCCTATCATGATGATGCTCACCGGAAACAAAAATGTGTTCTAATTGATACGACTACACTTTTTATACATCTAGTTCGTTTTTGGAACCATCGATTTTGACGGGACGCGCGAAGTTGGAAGTACGAATCCGAACTGGGAGGATCATTTTCGCAATTGGACTTTTCAAATTCGTCACAGAACATTCAAGTTCGTCTGGGGTCGATAGCACTTTCAAGTTCGCGTTGATAGAACTTTTAATTTCGACAATCGAACCTTCGAATTCGTCATAGAACTTTCAATTTCGACTTTCGAACCTTCGAATTCGTCATAGAAGAAGCAAAGTGGTCCCAGTGGAGGCACACTCTGGTCCCGACGGAGGCACTCGGAAAAAAAAGGTGTTTTGTGAGGAATAGAGGCGACAACGACCACAACAACAACACCCACAACAACATCAGCACCAACAACGACAACAACAACAGCGTGCCTGGAACCGCGTGACATCGCCAACAACAACCTCAATTGGTTACAGTAAATCATCATCTAGTCATATATATAAACATGCCATCTAATGTCTCTGTGCACCGGCATCAGCCCTTTCTCTGGCGAGACGAGCTGTTTGCTCGTACTCAGGAGCCACAGGCACCCATAGATGCCTAGGCCACGGCATTCCCCAAGTCCTCCAGCTGTATCCCCTTGTGACCACATCCCTCACAGCCTGCCATTCCTCGCCAGTATATTCGCCTTCCCCACTATCAATGCGGTACAGCTCTTCAGCAAAGGGCCTACAAGTGTTGACCCAAGCACCGTTAGAAGTAGCACCATATCTGCTGTTGATGCTCTCATCCTCGGCCAGTACAGTCAGCTGATTGTAAATCATATCCGTGGCTGCCCTTCTTCTAATGTTGAAAGGGCCTCCGATGCTGACGGCACAGATCAAGGCCACGCAGCAGTTGCCTTCATCTTCGCCCATGCTGTTGATGTCCACCGGCTGTGCACCAGTGTGCAGATAATCCTGCACGTGCAGCCCCTCGGGTGCGAGCCCCGTAGCCATCTTGGCTCAGCGCAAGCAACATGGCCCAGCGTACTATCGCCGATCTCATTATGTTCAATAAAAAAGGGGTTGAATCACATTTCCAGGGTATATCTGCCAGTAGGCTCGATAGGCACCCGCATCAAGAGAAAACAATGGCTCGAACATAGTCACGTCTCTGGTGTCCTCTCTACTAATGCAGTACAGTTGTTGACCAAAATCGGCAATGCCGATCCAAACCTCTCAATCGGGCAGTCCAAAGTCAATACCGGTCTCCTGCAAACTGTAGGCTGCAATACTCCATGATACCACCAATGAGGTCGTACATCGGCTCCCTACCATGATGGCCATCCCATAGCCCCTCATAAGCATACAACGGAAAACCTCAAAATGATAAGGGACTTGGAAGACAATTACTGTGGAGAGAAGAATGGATGAAGCTCGAGCAACTGAAATGGGCCATCCGCTCATCAATTCAGTTCACCACTCCTCTCCGAACGATTGATCTGATCAATAGTTCATGCGTTTTATATAACATTCATCGGATGTTGTAGCGTTGTATGATGTCCCCTTCAAATACATCGACGCTGGTGGCGATGCTCTCCCCATGGCTACAATACCCTGGATAACATTGGGAAACCGTTAATTCACAACTGAACACCATGTAACCGCCACACTAAAGTAACGAAATCAAACTACATTTCACTACGCGAGCAATGTGAAAAACAAAACTAGGAACACATGAAAATGTAGCTCATTTTCTAGTAAACTCTTGTCTTTCATCCTTCATCCACCTTGGGAGCCAAATAAAAACGAACGCTTCCTACCTCGGGAGAATCAGCCAACGAGTACTCCATCTAAAACCAAAACGCCATGCAAGTATTGCTAAACAGGATTCTCGACCTTACCATGAGAGGCACTTCCAATGACAAATGAACAACCACGACATCACTAAGTATATACGCATATTAAAGTTCAAATGAATGTAACTGCATTGATGACAATGCCTAAAGGACCAAGTTAACTAAGTTGAACTAATAATATTTGAATGACTAATTGTCGTGTTGATCTCGTTCTTGACAGACGTGCTTGCTATCTGGTGCAATGTAACATTGCCAATGTTGAACCCAGCGTGCACGTGGAATAACAAACCGATTAGAATATCTCAACATCGACAAGGGGATGCCTTGAAGGGATGGTTGGTAGCAGTTGCCAGCTACAGGAGTATCCTTGTATGTAATAATCCTCTAACAATTGACTGGATACGCGGAATTCCTATCCTAAACGGTCAAGCCCGGTGATGCCACAACGCTGAGTTTTCCACTATAAGAGTGGGCGTATTTATGACAGAGTCGCTGGTGACCTTCGTTCTGTAGGACTTGAGTGATGCAACGACGGTTTGGATTTCCCGGCACAATATCCGACTCCAGCATATTCCGCGGGAGTTTGCAGCCAAGGAACCATATGTTGCCGCCGATGCGCTATCTGCGACAATTCTACATGGTTCTCCTTCTGACGGCTACCAAGTGCTCTTGCAGAGAGCTCAATACTACGTTTCCCAATGTTATCCAGGGTATTGTAGCCATGGGAAGAGCATCACCACCAGCGTCGATGTATCTGAAGGGGACATCATACAACGCTACAACATCCGATGAATGTTATATAAAACGCATGAACTATTGATCAGATCAATCGTTCGGAGAGGAGTGGTTAACTGAATTGATGAACGGATGGCCCATTTCAGTTGCTCGAGCTTCATCCATTCTTCTCTCCACAGTAATTGTCTTCCAAGTCCCTCATCATTTTGAGGTTTTCCGTTGTATGCTTATGAGGGGCTATGGGATGGCCATCATGGTAGGGAGCCGATGTACGACCTCATGGGTGGTATCATGGAGTATTGCAGCCTACAGTTTGCAGGAGACCGGTATTGACTTTGGACTGCCCGATTGAGAGGTTTGGATCGGCATTGCCGATTTTGGTCAACAACTGTACTGCATTAGTAGAGAGGACACCAGAGACGTGACTATGTTCGAGCCATTGTTTTCTCTTGATGCGGGTGCCTATCGAGCCTACTGTGAAAGTGGCAGATATAACCCTGGAAATGTGATTCAACCCCTTTTTTTATTGAACCATAATGAGATCGGCGATAGTACGATGGGCCATGTTGCTTGCGCTGAGCCAAGATGGCTACGGGGCTCGCACCCGAGGGGCTGCACGTGCAGGATTATCTGCACACTGGTGCACAGCCGGTGGACATCAACAGCATGGGCGAAGATGAAGCCAACTGCTGCGTGGCCTTGATCTGTGCCTTCAGCATCGGAGGCCCTTTCAACATTAGAAGAAGGGCAGCCACGGATATGATTTACAATCAGCTGACTGTACTGGCCGAGGATGAGAGCATCAACAGCAGATATGGTGCTACTTCTAACGGTGCTTGGGTCAACACTTGTAGGCTCTTTGCTGAAGAGCTGTACCGCATTGGTAGTGGGGAAGGCGAATATGCTGGCGAGGAATGGCAGGCTGTGAGGGATGTGGTCACAAGGGGATACAGCTGGAGGACTTGGGGAATGCCGTGGCCTAGGCATCTATGGGTGCCTGTGGCTCCTGAGTACGAGCAAACAGCTCGTCTCGCCAGAGAAAGGACTGATGCCGGTGCACAGAGACATTAGATGGCATGTTTATATATATGACTAGATGATGATTTACTGTAACCAATTGAGGTTGTTGTTGGCGATGTCACGCGGTTCCAGTCACGCTGTTGTTGTCGTTGTTGGTGCTGATGTTGTTGTGGGTGTTGTTGTTGTGGTCGTTGTCGCCTCTCTTCCTCACAAAACACCTTTTTTTTCCGAGTGCCTCCGTCGGGACCGGAGTGTGCCTCCACTGGGACCACTTTGCATAGAACTTTCAATTTCGTCTAGCACACCTTCAGACCTTCAATTTCGTCCCTTTAGAAAAATCGATTTCGTCGCGCAGAACTTCAACTTCGTGTTATCGAGGCAACTATGGCAGTACTCTCATAATGAGGCCTGTGTTTTGCTAACTGTGTGGCTTCTTCTCAACCATTATGACCAGCCATATGCCTCCGTCCGTGGGTCCTAGTGATGAATATGTTCAGCGTGTATGCATCCGGGTGCCTTCTCATGTTCCTGAATGCACTACTGGGCACACTCTTATATAAAATAAACATTAATGTAACCTTCATATTATAAGTAATAATATATATATGATAATATGGTTAATAATCGTTATAATAATTTACGAATTCAGCTACAGTCATCACAGTTTCACCAGTGAGCATGGTGATCTTCGCAGTTACTCTTTGTTGTTTAATTCCTACGAATGCCAGAACAAAAACCAGTCCGAGCCCGTACTCCTCCGAAACCTAGCGACCTGAGAATCCTCAGCAAAGTAAACCACATGCTAGAAAGTAGTATTCAACAGTTGTGAAGGTATCGGGTGTGAATCTTGGCTAGGCTATGTGGAGTCCCTCGATGATCGCAGTCAGAAGGTTGTTCAGTTCAAGAGCCCAGAAGAGATAGCAAAGATTTTCTCGGAGAAGGCCTGTGACCTCTCCCTCAACGACGGTGAGTTTTTGTGAAAGGATTGCACCATCGCTGAGTTCTGTCGGAGCAGGTCAACCTGTTGGGGAAGAGGCGATTCTCAATGCCTGCGAGGCTACATTGGCACTATCAGTGAGGACAGGCCATCCGCATTTCTTCAATCAACTTATTGGTCGAGCCGATGTGACTGGTAGTACTGGACTTCTCATCCGCAAGAGTGTCGGTTCAATCCTCGGTTCGCGCTTTTCAGCGTCTATAGTGAATATTGGTCTTCGTTTTCAAGCGGTTTGGTTGTGACCCTCCGGCTCTCTCAATCAGAATCGCTGCGCGGGTTCCCATTTTGTGATTAGAAGCACCGATCTGGATAACACCCATTAGAGGAGCCTCTACTGCTTTCGAATCAGGTATTGCTGGTGAAGCACTGGTTGCTGCCACCAACGGCTCGGCATATACCTATGAGGTTGCTCCAGTGTTCTTACTCATCGAACAAGAGCTCATGAATAAGACCTTTGATTTGGTCGGATTCAGCAGAGACACCGCCGAAGGTGAGGGTAGTCCGTTCTCAATGATTTGATCGTATTGGTTATTACAGGCCTCACCGTTCCTGGAGGATCGATATCCAACCTCTATGCATTGCAGACTGCTCGGTACTATAAATTCCCCCAGGTGAAGACTGAGGGCCTCTTTGCCGTCGGAGGCCAGCCTGTTGCGTACGATGATAAGTGCCATATAGAGTCTCGATGGATAGTGTCTAAGGTACTGTTCGGAAGAGGCGCACTATTCTTATACGAAGGCTGCTCTAGTTGTCGGGCTGGGATCTAATAATATGGTGAAGGTAGTGAGGGAGGATGGACATAAAATTCATCCGAGACTTCATCGGATTGCTAATCGTGCAGTTGTGGCGAGCCTATGTTTTCTTTCTCTCATTCGTTTGTTATTCTGTCGGAGTTGTTGCCTTTGTAATTGCGAGAGCATCTCCCCTCGATTTTCCTCATAAACGGGTCGTAATAGATACCTACGGACTTCCGGGGTCGCATGAGGGCTGATATCCTCGAGAAGCGAGTGGCCGAGGATCTGAAGGCGGGCAAGAAGCCTTTCTTTGTTGGGGCCACTGCAGGAACTACTGTTATGGGTGAGGACTCTGCGTGGGTTCAAAGGGCGGTAGCATTTCTACGATCCACTCTTTGCAGGGGCCTTCGATGATGTTGAAGCACTCAGATCAGTTTGCGATAAGTTCGGACTGTGGTTGCATGTTGACGGAGCTTGGGGTAACATACAATGGGGTCATCTGCGTCGCTCCGCTAAGACGATGATCATTTTCCGCTCCTAGGTGGCGCTGTATTGCTGTCGTCGAAGTATAAGAAGACTCTGCTGTCGGGTGTTGAGAAGGCCGACTCATTCTGTTGGAATCCACACAAAATGGTAACCTCACTCTGAATGTAAAACAATCGACTGAAGATTCTCAGGTCGGAGCCCCTCTGCAGTGTAGCATCTTCACTCATAACAGAGGCCATGGGTTGGTAAGAAGCAGCCTATCGTGGTTGCTGTGCTCACCTTGGGTGGTCTGCTCTGCTCAGTTACAAGCTTGCAATGGTACTTGTGCCAACTACCTCTTCCAGAAGGACAAGAACTACGCGTCTTACGATAAGGGCGATTGGACTATACAGTGTAGGATCTCCTCTTTGTTGAGGGTTGGGTCAACGGTCCGCTCAGGCGGACGGAAACCTGACGCTTTCAAGACGTGGCTGGCCTGGAAGAGGCTTGGTGACGATGGAATCAGACAGAGGGTTGAATACGGTACGGGTAGGGCGGTACGGTATGGTTATGCAGCACAACCAGGTTGTGCTCAGCAGGGGTCGGCTAGCAAATTTGAAATGTGCTGCTTTGTCGAGCCTCGTCATCAGTGCTGCAAAATATGCTCGCTTCCCTCAGCTGAGCTCAAAAATTTACTCACTAATCACAGAAGTTTATATACGAATCGGGAGAAAAGTGTACAGAAACTAACAAAATTTCCTCAGAGTTTTGATATTATCACCAACACATGTGGTTGATCATTTGCAAATTTTACCACACTGCTCGCCATTCGAAAAAAGGCATGTGGTTTACGCTGTGTCGTTGTCGAGTTGTGACTGGCGGTCACTTCCTGCGACCACAGCAACATTAACGATTTAGTGACGCTAGCGACGTACGCGTGCAGTGTGAATCCGATAGATGTTCCCTCCATGGACTTTGTGGTCACCAGGTGATGACTCATCACCTGGTTTGTTTGCCCTGTTCCCTTTCACTCGCAATACGAGTGTAGGTTGCACGTTACGTATGCAACAACTGCAATCATGCAAGGTGCGACCTCAGTTTTTCTGGGAATTTGTCCCGATGCTCGTCATCGACCCACCCCTGATGGGACATCGCAGAGGAGGCTCGGAAACTCTTCGGCGGAATGTAGCGGCTCATTCCTCACGCCTCGCCGAGCGCGGCGTGTCCCCTTGTCAATTGTCCAACGACGAAGATGGCTCTGACCACATATCTTACTCGTCACCGCCCCCTCTATGAAGGGGCGCTTCGATCTTGAGGGCTACTCAAGATCGTGGCGTGTAAACGCTGTTTTCCAGATCCACGGGGATATCGAATTCTTTGCGAGGAGGGCTCAGATCTGATGGACTGAGCCAGCTTGTTGGAATAGCCATCATATATTCGGAATTTGCAGGTGTAAGGGTCCATTACTAATGTAGCAGGGATTGCCGAATGTATACTAGTCGGAGAAGGCAAAAGCTGTTAACTGTGGGGTAGACGAGCAGACCATCACGAGCATCGTCACACCATCTTAACTGTGAAGTTCGTTATAGCCCCGTGTCACCACGGATGCAGCCACCGCATTCTACCGGGTCCATTTGCATTGGAGGAGTGCGTGGATCTGGACTGATTTGGGCCGTCGCTATGCATCCAGATGTTTGGTCTTCGGACTTGGCTGTGGGCCAGCTGCAGAGGTGCAGGAGCTCTGCAGGCGCACCACCAAAGTTTGCGACCCATTCTTCCTATGAATACCTGTAGTTCCTAGTGTTACGTTCCTGATGATGTTTTACACATGCATGAACCTGGTAACACAGTCGCTGTGTTTGTGCTTTCAGGCATCAGCTTGGCGAGATACGCTGCTAATTCGATGAGGGAGTCTTCCGTTGAGTCTTCCAATCGATTCAAAGGCTCGTTCGTTTTGTATCGGGATCCTGAATACGCTAATGTATGCTTCTGGTAAGTGTATGATAAATCGATGGGAGCAGTTGCCATCTTTATATGGCTTGGTGGTTGAGAGCAGTTTCGATGCGTCGTAGGAGCAAAGTTGAATTAGAATTCGAACAGGGAGTGGGTGTAGCGATGAACTAATACATGTTGAATCAAAACTGTCGTAGTCGAGGCCATGGCTCGAGTGCAGATGTTTGTTCTTATCGAATGGTAGGTATTTGCCTCCCTCTCTATCGCACTTGAAGCCTTTGGAAGGGCTGAATGCCGAGAATGCTGTTAAGCTCACGAAGGTAGGCTCGTGGTCTCCTGCGGTCGGGATGGTAATGCTCAGGTCACACCTTACATCAAAGACAAGATGCAACGGGAGGGTCTCGCCATGATTACCTTCACTGGACTATACAACTTTTTCCGGTAGGAGTAGCGAAGTGCTGTCGGTGGGATTCGAACTCGGCTCGATCTCTCTCAGATGGACTTTCACTTCGCCACGAAATGTTAGTTATGATGATGTTGATATAGTGATGGGCGAGATTGACCGGATCGGCCAAGATTTCGTCAGCTCTGCATAACTGCATCCCTCAAGGTGTCTACCACTCCACTGTATTGCTACCAGGGCATTTGGCGCCTCTACTGTGTGTTTCCTCGTCATTTTTGGCTACACGTTCCTGTACAGATCGTCCTGCATCTCGAGTTTTATGTGTTCAATTCGGGCTCAAACTCGAGCTCTTCTGGAGTAGATGTACGTGTGACAGTGATCACCTCGTGACGGGTTTAGCTCCGTCACGACTGTCTCACTTCAAAGGACTGATCGTATGGTTAGTGTCTAGGGTTGGAGTGAGTGAAGGCGTTCATTGCTGGGCACCTGCTCAGTACAGTTTACCTCTGGCTCGCAAGCAACTTAGCAAACGCAACGAGTTGTAATGGGGTCTAGTGGGGTCCAAGGTCTCTCTGGGTTAGTTGGGTTTTCCTTCTATATGGGCGCTTATCTGTCGTCGCCTAAAACGGCTAAGGTAGTGGAGCTCGTCGTTAGTGGGGATCAGCTGGTATTGAATTGTTATCAGGAGTCGAGTGATGGTAGAGGAGGCTTCCATTCTTGGGGGTGCTCTGAGGTGCAGGGATGGCGAACGGAAATGGAGGACGCCCATGTAGCGATAAGTGGCTTGGAGGGTAGTAGTCGAAGTGCTGATGTGCCCGTTGATGACACTAAGAGGCTTGTAACAGGTACGAGTGGGGGGGTCGCCATGTTCGGTGTATATGACGGCCACGGAGGGTGTGAGGTCGCTAAGTTTGTCGAGAAGCATCTCCCGGAAGAAGTAGCTGAGAAGAGCTGTTACCTGGTGGGCTAGTGCTCGCTGTAGATGTCCAGTGCGAGTCCAGGAAAGTTAACCAATGGAGATTTGTTGGTGAAGGGCTACCATAGAATGGACGAGTTGCTGCGGAGCTCGGAGTTCAAGGATGAGCTCGCAGAGTATCGGAAAGCTGCGAGTGGTGATGGCGTTGGTGGTGGTAACGACCTTGTTGTTGTGAAAAAGGGACACCTGTGTGGATTCAGGGAAGGCGAGGTTCGCGTCCCTGCTGCAGAGCTCGATTGTACAGGACCTTGCTGAGCTGCGGGAGAGGGAGACGATTTCCCGACAGGACGCCAAACCCGTAGGAAGGGGGCGACGAGCTCAGGGACCAACAGTGGTGTTAGGTTATGATGAAGATGTTTGTTTTGAAGAGGTTGGAGGCATCACAAGCTGCTGCTCCCTCCAACTCGTCAACTCTCGAGGAGACCGTTCCCCCTCGCCGTAATCCATGTGGAGACCTTGCTGGAGCGGATGAGTAGGGCGAGCTTTACGATGGCTCGCGTCAGCGTGATCGTTTTCAGTGGCAGTCAAAGTAGTTCAGAGAGCACCACCACCATCACAGAGGGCAGGGCGGCATTGGTACGGCAACTCGGTGTGGTGTGGAAGGATCCGCTGCGCTTCAGTTCGGCTCTGAAAGTGGTGGAGTATCGAATGTTGGCTGTACGGCTGTGACGGCCTTGCTGACGAAAACTCATATTGTCGTTGCCAACGCTGGAGATTCGAGGGCAATTTTATGTGTGTCTGCTGTGCTTGTTGTGAATGTGGCATCATCACGAACAGGTAGAGGAGGGCGCGTCGTGGAGCTTTCTCATGATCATAAACCCAATTCGGAGACAGAGAGGCGACGTATCGAAGCCGCTGGTGGGTATGTCGAAGAAATAAAGTTAACAGCCAAGTAGGTGAGGAAGGACCCTCCAGGACTGATTTCGAGTTCAGAACACAGTACCGTGTGAACGGTAACTTGAACTTATCTCGAGCAATAGGAGATCATGAGTATAAGAAGCGAGATGATCTCAAACCAGAGGAGCAGATTATATGCAGCACGCCCGACATAGTTCTCAAGGAGTATTCATCATCATCATTATCATCATCATCGTCGTGGCTATATGCTGTTGGTGTTTAGGCTTACCCCTGAGGATGAGTTTTTCGTTTTAGCTTGCGACGGAGTCTGGGATGTACTACCGTGATCATGGAACGAGCAAAGGTCACTCTGGTGTTGGTGCCAGGTGATGAGTAACGAAGAGGTCGTCGACTTCATCCGGCCACGGATTGCCGAGGGTCAGAAGAAGCTTTCGGAAATTGTAGAAGAGCTGTTAGATCATTGCATTGCTGACGGTGAGGGTCTCATTGAGGCGAATGAGACGTGATGTTATTCGTCCATTCTCAGATCCTAAATTGTCGGAGGGAATAGGGGGTGATAATATGACTTGTATCCTCGTTAAACTAGAGCGTCATGATGATAAGCTGTCATCAGCCTCTGCAGCACCATCTGGATCTGATCGGCTTTAGTCGATGTATTAGGCATGTGCACTTTTGTATATCCGTCAATAGCCGTTAATTCATCTTTATTGGCTATTGTAATGAAATGTTGTCGTATCTACCGAGGCGATGGCTACTCCTGATGGGCAGGATTACTCGTCTGGCTGCACATTATGCTTCCGTCAATTATTGCGAGCTATCAATCAACGGCATTTGAGTACGAGTCGGGACATGGTTGAGTGTAGTCAACATAGAAGTAGTATACAACACAACATCATGATGCACACGATACAATCGGAGTACGAGCGTTTGCAGTGGATTCGTCAGTAGCACCAGGCGATTGCGACTCGTACGTTCAACATCACAAGGAACCATGATGTTAACTCACGATTGGACACAACAATCACGACTAGGAGTGACAATATGCTTTGTTCGAAGGAGATATGAATACCAAGCCGACTTACCTCGACCTGCTTTCACACTATGTGGAGGAGTAAGCCCCGAGTAGGTAAAGACAATATTCCGTTGACTTCTAGAGAAATCGGAGGAATTTCCTTCCGGTATACTTCGAAGTTCCACGGGGAATCAATGCTTCCGTGGAATACGCATGGAATGAACAGTGGAGTTTCTCCTCCCAGATCACGAGTTCATGAGACGAATGTCACTATTTAAATACAACGCGATTTCGACGAAACGGTACATAAAAATATTGGTGTTGACCGATCTATCGCATGACCGTCACGAAATTGGGACTAACTTCCCTCCACAGAGTACGTTCTATACACGGCTCATTGAAGTAGGAAATCGAACAAATCGCTCTAGCAAGTCTCTAATGTAGTAAACACTTACATTACCTCGAGTCCAGCTACTAACTCAAACCCTAACTTGATGCAGAAAATCATACGCAAAGAGAGCCAAGCCATGGCCCCGGCTCGACGCATGCAGATTTAAACAAAGAGTTACCATGCACCTATTGCTTCTCATAAGACACGCGAGAAAGCATTGATCACATGGCCAGGTGGAATCAGGGAACATGATAACGTCAGACCCATCACGCAGCACCATCACCACCATCCTGATCAGATGTCCAAAGAGTCAGATTGTCTCTAAGGAGTTGCATAATGAGAGTAGAATCCTTGTAGCTATCCTCGCTAACATTATCAAGCTCGGCAATGGCGTCTTCGAATGCCGTCCTCGCCATCTTACAAGCCTCGTCAGGCTGATTCAAAACCTCATAATAGAAAACTGAGAAGTTGAGGGCGAGGCCGAGCCTGATAGGATGAGTTACCAACAAATCAGACTTAGCCGTGGCCGAGGCGTCCTTGTATGCTTGATGGGCATTCTCGGCAGCATTGCTCTTACCCTCGCCCGAATTAAATTCAGCGATGTAGCGATAGTAGTCGCCCTTCATCTTATAATAGAAAACCTTGGACTCCCCACTCTGCGAGCTAGGGATGAGGTACTTATCGAGCAGCTGGAGGATGCTGTCACAAATCTCCTGAAGCTCGCCTTCGACCTTCTCTCTGTAGCCCTTAGCAATCTCCGCATTGGAGTTGTTCCCTTTAGAAGACTCTTTCTGTTCGACCGAAGAAATGATACGCCACGAGGCACGTCGAGAGCCAACCGCGTTCTTGTAGGCGACGGACAGCAAGTTGCGCTCCTGAAGGAAATACGAGTTCCAAGACCTCGGTGACTAGTTGGTCAGCTTACCTCAACAGTCAACTCGCCTCCACTCTCCGCAACAATCTTCATATAATTAGCCATCTCGTCGTAGCGCTCGGCTTGTTCAGCCAACTTGGCGAAGTAGACATTCTTCTCACGCTCTTCGGACATAACTAGGGAGACTTGAATGAATACCGAGACGAACTGTAGGGCAAACTCGGTAAGATTGAATGAGAGCCTTGAACCAGCCTTACACACTGAAGGACAGTGGGGGGAGGAGTATATGATTCACGGCTGCGCTCCGAAAGAGTCCGAACGAAACGGCGGGAATCCTAGACGATCTCGCGCGCCTGAGACTCAACTTTTCTACTCGCCTCGACAACTGGAAGCGTGGACCACTGCAATGACGATCGATGTTGCCTTAATTCTGGCGAGAGACCGCCAAACACCATCACATAGTTGCAGTAGTCTTAGGGAATTCTCGTCTAGGACGAGTAACAACAAAAAGTTGTTCGAAATGCGCTAATCAAATAACATGAAAAGTGCCGGAGAGGAACAAATCGTCGAAAGTACCGACTCCCACCAGCCTGCATGCGTTAACGTCGATTCTCACCCCATGCAAACGCTATTTTTGCGCCCTCACGCTACCCGACTGAATGAACTCAACAATGAACTCGGTAGATTCTAGATGAACCAGCATCGATCCACATCTAATGATTAGTCAAACGGCACCGCATAGTTATAGATGATAACCGCCACTTAAAGACCTCAACGGCTTGTCGACAATCCGGTTTATTGCGCAGCATCGGCTGCACCATCCTGATCAGATGTCCAAAGAGTCAGATTATCTCTAAGGAGTTGCATAATGAGAGTGGAATCCTTGTAGCTATCCTCGCTAACATTATCGAGCTCGGCAATGGCGTCCTCGAATGCCGTCCTCGCCATCTTACAAGCCTCGTCAGGCTGATTCAAAACCTCATAATAGAAAACTGAGAAGTTGAGGGCGAGGCCAAGCCTGATAGGATGCGTGACGGGCAGATCAGACTGAGCAATAGCAGTAGCGTCCTTGTATGCCTGATGAGCAGCTTCGGAGGCATTGCTCTTTCCTTCGCCCGTATTGAATTCAGCAATGTAACGGTTGTAGTCTCCCTTCATCTTATAATAAAAGACCTTGGACTCTCCGGTTTGGGAGTGGGGGATTAGGCTCTTGTCCAACAACGTGAGGATAGTGTCGCAAATACCCTGGAGCTCTGCTTCAACCTTCTCCTTGAAGATCTTAGCGATTTCAGCATTGCTGGTGTTACCCTTAGAGGTCTCCTTCTGCTCGACAGATGAGACGATCCTCCAGGAAGCACGTCGAGACCCAACAGCATTCTTGTAGGCGACCGACAGCAAGTTGCGCTCCTGAAAAAGAAATGAGCACCACGTTCACAACCTTAGACCGCAATCCATCAGTCAGTTACGAGTAGCCAAAAAAGAGAATAGCGGAGAGCCCGCTTTGGAAGTGGGTGAACATGAGTACGCGACAAGGGGGTAGACGAGAACCGCAGATTTGAAGACGGCTTACTTCGACGCTCAACTCGGCGTTAGTCTCGGCCACAGCCTTCATGAAGGAAGCCATCTCGTCGTAACGCTCAGCCTGCTCAGCGAGCTTCGAGAGATACACATTTTTCTCACGTTCATCAGCCATCTTGAGTGGAATACAAGTGTAGAAGTTGGTGGAAGTAGTTGTAGCAGATACGTAGATCCCCGTGGGCATACGTACGCGCGTGGAGAAATTATAAGAGCCCAAGAGACGGTTCAGTTTGTTGAGTTTACTAGTGGAACCCCGTCGCTACGCTCCGGGAGTCGCTACGCTCCAAGGACAGATAGCAATGTATGAGACTGGATAAAGTACTAATATACTTGGTAATAATATAGCGCAGACTTTGAACGATGACAGAAGTAAGATGTACGATGTTCCGATAACTGAACGCAATAGAGACAGGCATGACGCTCCAACGTTTCGCCACAACGTGAACAACCTTGGCATGCTGTTGTGCAGTTCTAAGGCATCAGTCGACATTATGAGCTCGTTTTCTTTTCTTGAACCGCATAGATATACGATGAGGATATTTTGGTCGAAGTTGGACCTGAAAAGAAATAGGTCCAGTTAACGTTATGACTCATAACTTATGAGTTCCGAGCATAGAATGAATAGAAATTGTATGCTTGCAGGGAAAAACACATTGGGCGGATTAGGTATCGACAATCAGATAGAAATAGTTGAGGGAAGCATAACGATATGTTGGAAGAAATGTGAACGCGCAGGAAAACGTATATCGCGAGAAAAACGTTTTTGGAATTATCTCTCCCATATGGTCTAGCGCCTCAATGTGGCGGGGGAGTGATACTCATGCGGAGTATGCGAAGCTAGACCGCTTATACCGAACTCGACAATCACCCAATGGGTGGTGACTGAGTGGCGGTGATTCACCCCCATGGAATCCATGGCATGGATTCACCGTGGTATCCTACAACATCCAAGGCTCATTTGGCCTCAAGTTGGAGTTGGCTCGTTACCGGTCTCTTGCCCAACCACATGTAGTCTGCCTTCAGGAGACATTCCACACCGAATCCACCCACCTACACTTCCCTGGCTATCACGTCGACGATCTGCTTTCGGCATCGGTTCCGGAGACATCTCAGCGATCTTCCCGTGGTCGTCGCAGCGGTGGTCTGGTCTCACAAATCCGCGACGATCTTAGCTATCACCATTTGTATACCATTAGTTATACTGACTCACACTATTTATTCTGTATACTTGTCACAGTTGTCCTTGATAATACCCAACATTACCGTTGCCATTTTTTGTCTGCTACTTTCGGCCCTCTGTTAGAATTCCAGAGGACTCTCTCCCGCATATTCCCACACCGCAGTATTATTCTGGGAGACTTCAAACTATGCAACAATTCTGCTTACTCGGTACGGCATTTTCTTCTCTATGACTCGGGTTCGAATAGGTTCCGACCATCTTTCATCTCTAAACTGTAGAGATAAAAGATGTACTGCTGTAGACACACAGCTCTGCGGCGGTCAACTATGTACCGCTGTAGAGTCTACAGCGGTACAACCCGAACTCGGAGACAACTGCTCCACGTTTCACTCCCTCTTGCCCAAGCTAGCCACCTCCACCTGTGATCTCCCAGGGAGATTCTCCTTCTGTGGGTACCGCCTACTCTTGCTGTGTGGGATTGGGAGACTCCCGTTCGCTGGTCCCGTTAGTTCTTATCGACCTCTACTCAGAGTAGACTACTCTTTTATTTCTGTCATGACATGGGAATTCACTGCCGCTCTTTACCACTTTAGCGTGCATTAGTCGTTGTAAGGGCGATACGCCAACAGGCGTGTAACGCCCCGGTAATAGGCGTACCTGGGTTTGAGAGGAATTGAGCGGGAGTACTCGAGATTGGACGACGGTTGTAATAAAAGAATGAAAATTGCATGAGACATTCCAGATCCAAAACCATAAAATTTTAAGCATAATCGCAGTGTAGTTGGGAATGAAGGAGTAGAAACTACAAAGAAAGGAAGAGGTTATGAAGAGGAGCCGAATGATAGGTACATTACTAGACATGGGCACCCTTGCCCGGCCCCGGCGACCCGATTCGCCCCGGCCCGGCCCCGGAACGAGCCGGGCCGGGCCGGGTCAAAGTCACAAACCCGGCTCCCCGCCAGTGTTGCCGGGGTCATGCGGGTGAGCGGGCGAAAAATGACCCGCAGCTGTCCGCGGGTCACCCGGAAACCCGTCAGCGCAGATATTTCAAGCCATTTACAGTGCTCTTAGTTGTACCTAGCGCGGAATTTCGCGTTAATTTCCAGGGATCATCGCGATACCTGAAAATTAACGCGCACTTCGCGTTTCAATCGCGTGACTTAGCACATTGGAATATTGTTTCATCCATGCTGATATTGGTTCTTCTTGACAAGAAGTTCTTACCGTCAATCATGTCCGAATGGCCTTCCTGCCTGGCGATTCGGGCCGGGTTACCCGGCCAACCCGGCGGGCCCTCTAAACCCGGAACATGGGTAAGAAAAGACTGCCGGGACACCGGGGCCGGGCCGGGGAAGCGGGTTCAAAGGCTGCCGGGCCGGGCCGGGCCGGGCGACTAGAAAATCGCCGGGTGCCCACCCCTATACATTACCGTATCAGACTGTGATGTAGTAGAAATAGGAGCGTTTGGAAGTTGGCCGTTTGAACGTTTTAACGCACTTTTCGGGCGGTTGCATGTACAGGAAATGCAAGTACATGCAGTGCAGGAAATATACACGACAGGTTCCACGGCAGATTCCACGTTGTGGAATGAGTAGAAATGGTTGCTTGCAGGGAAAAAGCAGGTTGGGCTCATTAGGTATCGAGAATGAGATAGAAATAGTCGAGAGGAGCATATCGACATGTTGGAAGGAATGTGAACGCGCAGGATATCGCGAGAAAAACGTTTTTGATATTACCTGGATTTGAGAGGAATTGAGCGGGAGTGCTCGAGAATGCACGACCTTTGCATGACACATTCCATATCCAAAATCATAAAATTTTAAGCATAATCGCAGTGTAGTTGGGAATGAAGGAGTAGAAAGTATACAGAAAGACAGAGATTATGAAGAGGAGCAGAATGATAGGTACATTGCCGTATCAGACTGTGATGTAGTAAGAACAGGAGCGCTTGGAAGTTGGCCGTTTGAACGTTTTAACGCACTTCTTCGAGCAACGATTATGTTTGCTCTGCTATTTAGTT